CGGGATCCGGCTCAGGATCTTCCCAGGGATCCTCCCAGGGATCCGGGCCCGGAACCGATCCGGGATCCAGCTCCAGGGACGGGGACGGCTGCGGGGGGTGCCGGAAGTAGGGGAGGGGTTCTGGAAGGTTCCGGAGGATCCCAAAGGGTCCTGGAGGATCCTGGAATATTCTGGAGGGTTCTGGAGGATCACGGAGGGTTCCGGAGGGTTCCAAAGGATCCTGGAGGATCCTGGGGGATCCCAGAAGATCCTGGAAGATTCTGGAGGATTCCAGAGGATTTTGGAAGGTTCTGGAGGATTCCAGAGGATCCCGAAGGGTCCCAGAGGATTCCAGAAGATCCTGGAGGATCCCGGAGGATTCCAGAAGATCCTGGAGGGTTCTGGGGGGTTCCAGAAGATTCCGGAGGATCCCAAATAAAAGTCTTGGATCTGCTGGTGGCCTCGTCACGGTGATGGCAGCGGGGGGGGTACTGGGAATACTGGGAATGGGATACTGGGGATACTGGGGATACTGGGATGGGATACTGGGAATACTGGGAGAGGGATACTGGGAATACTGGGGATACTGGGAGGGGGAAACTGGGGGGACTGGGAACACTGGGACAGGATACTGGGAATACTGGGAGAGGGATACTGGGAATACTGGGAATACTGGGAATGGGATACTGGAGGGACTGGAGGGACTGGGGATGGGGATACTGGGGGGACTGGGAATACTGGGAATGGGATACTGGGGATACTGGGGATACTGGGAATGGGGCACTGGTGGCACTGGGGTCACTCTCGGTCCCGTCCCCTCCCCACCCCAAACCAGTGCTCCCAGTACGGCCCCGCCCCCCCAAACCAGTGCTCCCAGTGCTCCCAGTACGGCCGGTTCCCAACCCGGGAGCTTCCCAAATTTTTGGGAGGGGCCACGCCCGAGGTTGGAACCGCTGGAATTTTGAGGGGGGGGGGAGGGGTCACACCTGGAATTTTCCCGGATTTTGGGAGTTCTCACAGCTGGAAATTCCCTAATTTTTCCTGGATTTTTTTGGGGATTATCCCAAATTTTTTGGGGGAGGTCTCACCTGGAATTTTCCCAAATTTTGGGAGCTCACAGCTGGAAATTCCCAATTTTTTCCTGGATTTTTCTGGGGTTATCCCAAATTTTTTTGGGGGGGAGGTCTCACCTGGAAATTCCCAAATTTTATGAGCTCACACCTGGAATTTCCCAATTTTTTCCTGGATTTTTTTTTGGGATTATCCCAAATTTTTTTGGGATTTCTCACCTGGATCATCCCAAGATTTTTTGGGTTTTTTTCCCCCAATTTTGGGTCTGGGGGGGGAACCCCAAAAACCTCCCCTCCCCCACCCCGGAACTGAGTCACGGCCCCTCCCCCACCCCCGGGAGCCTTTAAGAGGCGGGGGGGGCGCTCCCAGTGCTCCCAGTTTGATCCCAGTGCTCCCAGTTTGATCCCAGTTCGATCCCAGTGCGGCGCAGGAGGGACCGGGAAGCGCTGCCAGGTACTGGGGGGAACTGGGAATGAACTGGGAGGGACTGGGGGGAACTGGGAATGAACTGGGGGGAACTGGGAACAAACTGGGAGGAACTGGGAGTTACTGGGAGCACTGGGGGGGTCACCGGGGGTTACTGGGAGTTACTGGGAGCACTGGGGGGGTCACCGGGGGTTACTGGGAGTTACTGGGAGCACTGGGGGGGTCACCGGGGGTTACTGGGAGTTACTGGGAGCACTGGGGGGGTCACCGGGGGTTACTGGGAGTTACTGGGAGCACTGGGGGGGTCACCGGGGGTTACTGGGAGTTACTGGGAGCACTGGGGGGGTCACCGGGGGTTACTGGGAGTTACTGGGAGCACTGGGGGGGTCACCGGGGGTTACTGGGAGTTACTGGGAGCACTGGGGGGGTCACCGGGGGTTACTGGGAGTTACTGGGAGCACTGGGGGGGTCACCGGGGGTTACTGGGAGTTACTGGGAGCACTGGGGGGGTCACCGGGGGTTACTGGGAGTTACTGGGAGCACTGGGGGGGTCACCGGGGGTTACTGGGAGTTACTGGGAGCACTGGGGGGGTCACCGGGGGTTACTGGGAGTTACTGGGAGCACTGGGGGGGTCACCGGGGGTTACTGGGAGTTACTGGGAGCACTGGGGGGGTCACCGGGGGTTACTGGGAGTTACTGGGGGGGTCACTGGGGGTTACTGGGAGCACTGGGGGGGGGTCCCCGGACTGACCCTTGTCTTTCCCCTCCCCCAGCCATGGCCGAACGCCGCCGCCCCTCCCCCCCCCAGAGCTCCCCTCCCCCACCCGACCCCGCCCCTCCCCCTCCCCCCCCGGGGATCCCCCTGGCCCCGTGGCCCCCCCTGCCCGAATGGGGGGGAGGGGACAGCGCGGGGGGGGGAGGGGACAGCGCGGGGACACCGCGGGGGGGGGAGGGGACACGGGGGGACGCGGGGGGGGGCACCCGGTGAGACCCCCCCGGACACGGAGCGGGGGCTCCGGGGGTCCCCAAATGTCCCCAGGTGTCCCCAGGAGGGGTCACTGCTGTCCTCAGGTGTCCCCAGAGCAATAAAATGTCCCCAAAAATGCCAGAATTGTCCCCAAATGTCCCCCAGGTGTCCCCAAATGTCCCCAGGGGTGGCTCCAGGTGTCCCCAAATGTCCCCAGGGGTGGCTCCAGGTGTCCCCAAATGTCCCCAGAGCAATAAAATGTCCCCAAAAATGCCAGAATTGTCCAAAATTGTCCCCAAGTGTCCTCCAGGTGTCCCCAAATGTCCCCAGGGGTGGCCCCAGGTGGCTCCAGGTGTCCCCAGATGTCCCCAGAGCAATAAAATGTCCCCAAAAATGCCAGAATTGTCCCCAAATGTCCCCAGGAAGCGCCACCTTTGATGGATTCGGGACAAACGGGAGGGATTTTTTTGGTGCCGTTTTCTTGAGGAATTCTCCCCGATTTTTCGAACAAATTAATCCCGAATTTTCCAACAAATTAATCCCCATTTTTGAACAAATTTTTCCCGAATTTTCCAAGAAATTAATCCCGATTTTTGAACAAATTAATCCCCATTTTTCAGACGGATCTTGCGCGATTTTTAAGACGAATTACGAGCGATTTTTGAGACAATTTTTCTGTAATTCCTGGACAAATTTTGTGCCACTTTTTGCCGATTATTTCCCGACATTTTCCTGATCTTTCCCGACTTTTCCCCCAACTTTTTCCCGATTTTCCCCAACCTTTTTCCCGACTTTTCCCCGTTGTTTTGCCGAACTCTTCCCGACTTTTCCCCACTGCTTTCCTCATTTTCCCCGACCTTTTTTTGCCGATTTTTCCCCGATTTTTCCCCATTTTCCCGCCGATTTTCCCGCCTTTCCCGCGTCACCATGGCAACGCCGCCGCGTCGCTCGGTAGTGACGTCACGCCGAGTCCTCCTGTATCCCACAATGCCCCGCGCGCTGTGAGGGGAGGGGGGGGTCCTCCTGTATCCCACAATGCCCCGCGCGCGCCCCCTCCCTCTCTGCCCTCAGCTCGCTGCCCCAGGCCCGGCGCGGCCCCGGGCCCGGCTCAGGCGGTAACGGCGGCACCGGACGGGGGGGCGGGGGCCGGGGAAGGG